AATTGCTCGTTACGAAGAACATTTGTTTAATTGCAATCAACATGCTCGCATAGACCTACACCGTTTTATGACTGCACTGTATCTATTAAAGTATAAGTTCAGGTCTTCAATATGGTTTAACTAAACAAAATAATGATTTACTTCTATATTGACACACAATTCTCCCAAGTGTAACAAAAGGGGGATCCAAGAAACTGATTTGGGAAATTTTTATTTGCTGGCCCAACATGGTCAGAAATATCAGCATTATCTAAAACAGATACATGCAAATCTTTAGCACTTATCAGGGAGACATATACAACCAATCAGATCTATTCCATAGTTATATGCAATTAAAGTGATCATCTCATTAGCCCCACAAGTGTATGGAATATTTGTGCAGCAAATCTACTACAATGGTAACAACATGTGATGCTATAAAAGTGGAAGTGTGCCCAACACACAAATCTACAGGGTGCTTCCCTCCTCCATGGTAATACGATTAAAATGGTAACAGCACAATTTCGAACAGATTTATCAAGAAAATGCAAAAATCTATGGGCCTTGAAGAGCCTTGCCTCAAAATTGCAAGGCCCTGAACCCTCAAGGCCAAGGCCAAGGCAAAGGCTTAAGCCCTCAAGCCTCGAGGCCAAGGCCAAGGCCCTAAAATCCAGCCTTAAGGCAGCCTTAAGGCCAAGGCCCAGCATCAAGGCACTACATCACTGCCTCCAGCAAACCAGTCGGAAATTGTATGGCCGCATTTTGAAATACAACCTGTAATACATAGAATGTTGATGATATTTGGGAACTGAAAAAATCAATAGCTCCGTCAGATTTTGTCCGATTCCCATATTCTATACATCATTGGAAAGTTCATTTAATGTCCTTTCCAATAAGCTCAAAATCCTGGTTTTCAAAAATTGGCTCTGGTTTTATGCTGGAGGGTGACACAATTATTTTGGAATGCATCAATAAACTGCTCTGAACTTTGGGGTAAAAAGCGTTTTTGCCTTCAGGACAAGGACATTCTAGTCTCTCAAAAGCCTATGATGAAAACTTTTTGTAAGTTTTCCCAGAGTGGACTTCATCACAAATGCTCCTGCTTAATGCAATACTACAGCAATCCACCATATTCTGCATAGTTTGAATCTTCATCAATTTTTAACCTCTTCTTCAAACTTTTGTTCATGGATGTAGTCCAGTCCATCACAAGTCCTCCAGTCCCAATTCAACCCACAAGCAATTTACAAGAGTTTTGACAAAGGCATTCCTTTATTGTTCATCCACTGTTACTTGTGACTGGACTTAATAATAATAATAATAAGCAAAGATTTATATAGCGCCCAATCCATCGAAAAAACAATGCTCCAGGGCGCTTACAAAGTAACATAATTATAGAAAATCCCTTTAAACACAAAGTAATTATTAGAATTAACAAGAAAAATGTAAAAATCAGTTTAAAATCAGACTTGTGACTGGACTTGTGACTGGACTTGTGACTGGACTTGTGACTGGTCTTGTGACTGGACTTGTGACTGGACTTGTGACTGGACTTGTGATTTACTTGTGGCTGAACTTGTGATGGATTTGACTTCATCCCTGACAGTTTTCATGTTCGGTTTATTTATTTTTGGAAAGTGTCAAGAGCTGATAGTTGAAGCCCGCAAGCTGATGAAGAGAGAGCTGCACAATACAAAGAGAGTCGGTACAATGAAGGTTGACAACAAGAACGTCAAAGATCAAAAACAAGATGCCAAGGTTAGAATTTGTTGGAAATTGTGCGCTTCAAGACTAAACTGGATTTGATTTTGTCATTCTAATCAGCCTTTAAGAGTTCTTGCAAGTTTAAAACATTAAATGAAATATTTATTGTTGAAATGTGTTGAATGAACTTATCGTATTAAATATGAAATTTCACTTGAGGACACTTGCAATGTAATTTTTTTTTACTTCTTTCAGGACAAGTGCCACGTCAGCGAGGGTATCTTTGCACTGCCTGAGTGTGCAGTCAGTGAAAGCATAGAGTGTCTTGTTAATCTAGCCTACCAGACATTACAAGAAGCTGCTAGTAACACACCACAATGGTGAGTTGGACATAGATTAATTTGGGGGGCTAATCATCCTTACTCGCAGCAGAAGCTGAATTGTAAAGGACACGGCTACAACGTGGTTGAGCCGAAGGCATGTTATGTACAAGCGCCTCAAGCAGCCATCGTATGACCCTCGTGGCACAGGAGAGAATTAATTAATTAACAACTCTACTCGCATATTACCCGATCCGGGAATCAACCCAGGCCACAGCAGTGAGAGGCAAGTGCTTTACGCACTGCGCCACCCATGCCAACTGCCTGATGTGATGTGTTTATGCTATTCTCACCATAGTAAAGTAAAGTCTGTCGTGAGCCAATATGGCCCATCGGGCCAGCCGTTATTTATGGTTTCCTTGGTATGAAATGATTCAATATTTCTACTCCCCCTGGATGGGATGCTAGCCCATCGCAGGTTACTCCCCAGCTGATTCTAGTACCCATTTACATCCTGGGTGGAGAGAGGCAAGTGGGGGTAAAGTGGCTTGCCCAAGGACACAGCATATGGCCAGCAGCTGGATTCAAACCTCTGAGCCTCTGATCAAGAGTCACGAACCCAAACCACTTTGCCACACTCCCCTGTGTTGGAATTTGTCCCATATCATGTGAAAAAGCAAAAGTGCCTTTTTTCCATGCAAATTGAAATGTGTTGAACATTTTATAGGTCAATGTGCACAATATTCAACTAAAGGATTCCTGAAAATGTCTTATTTTTATGTTTGCAGTGCCATCCAACTGTTCTACACAGTGCGAAACATGTTTGAGATATTTTGCGATGTCGTACCCACATACCACAGAGATAGTCTGGTGAGTCAACTTCTAGACTTTTTCGAACAGTCATCTGGTATTTCACTGTCATCTGCTTGTTGAGCCAAATAAAAAAAAAATGCACAGAAGCAAATGTTTCCATGTACCTTTAACAGGCATGCAACTGGGAATTTTGAAAAAAACGAAGAAATTCCAAACCACACATGACTTTGTTCAGTGTTTTTCAATTTGTAATGGCATTATTATTATTATAATTATAATTATTCATGAGAAGTAAATAACGAGGAAATCAGTGGATCCAAGGAAAAATTGCATGCCTGCTTTAACCAGTTTGCGCCAGAGGCCGTGTATACACGCAAAAGTTTTGGGTACTCCGAACCGATGACAGATAAACACGCAGGGAGAGAGTCCGGAAATATCTGTCAGCGACCCACTCGCAGCGAGCAAGGCCAGAAATATGAGTGTGCTGCCCGAGGGTGATGGCTTCAACCGGCCTGGCTTGAGGTCGAGTGAAAATATATCCCGCGTCTCGTTCCGTTCTTGTCAAAATAATCCCAGCGTGAACAGGTTAAAGCAAGGATGAAAACAACAACCAAAGTAATGTTGATATTGTCTTAAAAATTCTTTACAGAAATCTTAACTTCTTTATTATTTTTGCAAAATTTTTCTTGTGAAACAGCAAAAGCTACCTCTGGAGTGCGCACTCCACCACAACAACTGCATGTACATCGCCCATCACCTGCTGACTCTAGGCCATCAGTATCGTCAATCCTTACCCCCGCCCCTCTGTGACGGCACATCCACATTTGTCGACCTCATCCCTGTCTTCAGGAAGCTGGCATCCGAATGTTTCTTGGCTCAAATGGTAAAACAGCAGCCTATTTTGTCTCATTTATACCCAGTCACCACAGCTTCCAGGCAGTAGATTTCTACTGTACCTCCTGATATGTCAGTAGAACTAAACTTCATCACCGAGTTTATTTGATTTGCGTAGAACTTTTATCCCCTTGTGAACCCTAACCCTGTCAGATGCAACACAGTGCATCAGGTGCAAACATCTGTGGGACATTGGTGCACTGAGCCTTCAAAACCAGTGCAAAAAACAGCCAATTCTGAAATGCCACAGTTGTATCCTGGTGCAGTTGGTGACCACAGACTCTGAGGCGGTTTAGCCTCAGAAGCGTAAGCAGAAGTCAAACCTTTTATTAATCTCCATTTAGCTAACTTTGTAAAATCGTAGTGGCCATTGTTACGACAGCTGTAATGCAATTTTCAAATACTATCTTTATGGAATTTGAAAAAAAAAATAGAGCAGGTTTTAATCAAATTTTTATTTAAGTAGATTTCATTTTCTTTTTTGAAAATTGGAGGATTTGTTGAAATAGGGAAATAAAGTCATAGAACCATTTTGTTGATTCCAACAGCCAAAGATCGTGACATTGAATACTGTATTGACCTATCGCTGTTTGCAAGTTAGCCAAGCCTCTTCACAACCCTACAGAATTTGTGTACACTAAGTATTATTGTCTCAGATTTTGCGCGTTCCGCATCCATCTGCATATCATGTAATTGGATAATATTTCACAAACTGCGTTGACGCCATTCTAAAGCGATTCTACCGCGATAGGTCAATTACGTCAGGGAACCAGACACTTTTGTAACAATAGCAGTTGAAAGTCACGTTACGTCTGTCATAACGATAAAGTGTTTCATGGTAATATGTGCCATCTTGCCCGCTGGGCAATTTTACACGTGTTCTGTGTACACATCGTCATTGGAAAGTTTTGGCGCTTCCAAGTCAACATGCGTTCAATCCAAAGTGCGCCCGCGTCTAGCAACGTGTGTTCTTTGTGCCCCGCGAATAAGATTACGCACATTACCAGGAAACACCTTATTGCCATGGCGTTATTATTTCATATGCCCTCTCCTAAAACAATTTCTTTTGAATGGATATAAAAGTAAGGCTTAGTTCCACCCCACTCAAATACAGTACTGGTACAATTGAATTTTCTGCAACAAATTTCCAACTTGGTAATATGCCTAGTAAATGGATTTCATAGGTTTAGCCCTAGGTGAATAAATTATTATTTTATTTCCTCAGAAAATGATGTTGACTCAACTCAGTTCAACTTGAATCTGGCTGGCAGTCGGTCCTCCGGCTGTAACATGGATCTGAAACTACAGAACCAGCTGAGTAAATACATGTACCTAGTCCCAGGTAGACAAATATTTGCATTTTTTCTCCTTTGCAGATTTGTCCTTTACCTACATTTACTTGCAGAAACCAAAACACCAATTTCAGTGACATTTTTGCATAAGCTTGTTTTACATATACACACCTTGTGTTCAACTTTAAGTACTTTTACTGTTAATTTGTGCCAATTTCATGGGGCAAAAAGAGCACGCGTTCTTGAGTAATGCACATCAATTTGAAAACTTTTGCGCTTCCAAGTCATCATGCATTCAGCAACATGTATTCGTTTTGTCCTGTGATTGATGCAACTTGCATAAAGGTGATATACCCAATGCTCTTCATAAATAGAGGGTTTTTTTCTCCTTACCAATTCTAAATTGTTTTGTTTTGTGACAAAAAGTATTTTATTCTGATTTTGGGCATCTCAACTCACTGAATAAGGGCTTTCATTTTGGGCACAAGAACCCGCTTTGCGAGAGCAGAGTTATTGTCTGACGGCCGATAATTTAATTTTTTGGAAAGAAATCATTCAATATCTATAAACGTAGGTGGATTTTTTTCCGTCGATGTCACAAAAAGTGAATTCAATAAAAACAAAAAATTAGCACGGGAAACACGTCTTTAAACAAATTCTATGAAAATGCCCCATTTCAAATCTGTGCATCTTTGATGGCATAATTGAAAATTTTGCCTTTTTACTAAATCTTGCAGAGTTTGACGTTGGTATAGATGATGTTGGGGAAATCGTCAACATACTTAATGTCATCAAGGTAAGAATTAAATCTTTACATTCCAGTTAGTTTCAACCTCGTGTCAAAAAAACATGTCCTACTTTTGACCCTAAATAACTCTGTTGTTTACCAATGAAGTTAAACCGAAATTTCAGATCATGTAAACCAGTGTTGGAGGTCTCGAGGCCGGCCTCGGCCTCGAGGCCGATTTTCATGGCCTCGGCCTCGGCCTTGGCCTCGGAGGTGCAAGGCCTCGGCCTTGGCCTCGGCCTCGGAGCCTTCCGGCCTCGGCGAATCGGTCGAGGCCGGCTCGAGGCCGCCCATTTTGATGTGTTTTCTATTCTAATTAATTTTTTTTTTTTACCGTATCAAATCCTCGAGATTCTGCCGCAGTGGGTTCCGTGAAACGAACGCATATACAATGTACGCACGAATGAACTGGAAATGGTTGCATTGAACGTACTCACGTACGTAGCATCTTCGCCTAGCCTGCGCTTCAGCTTTCCACGTGCTTGCAAGCGTTATAACTGTTACCGCGTGCCAGACTACATAAGTCTGGAACCAATCCCATTTGCGTACAATAACATGTGGTAGTAGACTGGTCTGGTTGCAGTGTTGTACACAATTTTCTCGTTTCGCCTCTGTACGCCGACCTTTAAAAATGAATTGCGGCAAGGTGCGGCAAGCTTAATCATTTCTTTTTATAGGCCACTGTTTCAGTAAAAGTCTGAACTTTCTGGGTACGATCGAGTGTACTAGTCCGTATCATTTTTTTTTTCATAAAGATATAATAAAAACAATTACAATTTATCAAGTAGATTTTAAAAAGAAAGTTCCGGCTCACACGGTAATGTTTGGCGCAAATGGTCGATATGGAAAGCGCGATTTCAGAATTCGTTTTGCCATCCAAATGAATGCAAAGTTCTGAATGAATGTTTTAATAATAGGAGTCAGTATTCCTCGTGGTACCCGTATACTTTTATTTTAGAGCCATGTTGATACTTATTACATGTATAAGCACGGTTTGAAATTGAATAATTTTGCGTGGTTACAGATATACGGCCAAAAAACCTCTGGACTCCCTACCTCTTGCCATGATCTTAAAATTCTTCGAAGCCATTGGATTCAAATCGGATGATCCGAGAATTCATGGTCATTTTGATGAACTGAGTGATATCATTCACGCATGTTCCATGTTGCCGTGTTGTTTGGAGCGTTATTGGCCATTGCAAGACTTTGTCTGGTACCGCGGTATTAACAGTGATAATGCGACACTTATCCCGTTGTGTGGAGCGGGATTGGAACTATGCTTTGCCCGTGCGTAACGGCGGGCCGTCTGGCATTGTCTGGTCGCATCGCGGTGTTTGCTCGGCGCGCGCCTGGACAGTGCGAAGGTCGGGGGGGGGGGGGTCGTAACTTTTTGGTTATGAGTGGTAAAAACCTGATTCAAAAATCAAGTTGTTGTTTATTTAATGGGGATTCCTATGATATTAAGCATTTTGATGGGTTTTGAAAATAAGATTTATAAAACATGCTAAAAGTAAATGATGTAAATCTTACAGATTAGAAACTCAAAATTTGGCCATTTAAATTGTTGTATCTCCAAAGGGCAAACACCTATGAGCCTGATTCAAACGCCATTGATTTTGTTGTGTAATTTGCTTTCAGTGATACAAAACTTAAAATTTCTTTCTTTAAAAAATAAAATTTGCCGGACTCCCTACAAGAGGAAACCCAATGCAAGCTGTAAATTTGTAAGCCAGGCACTTCAAAACTCAGTGAATTCAACTAAAAAGATGTTGAAACTCCAACATAATCTTATCCTTGTTTTAGTCCAGGGGTGTGAAATCTCAGCTTTAAAGCTGATTTCAGCTTTTTTGGTTTGGATTTTAGCTTTTTTTCCCTCACTTGCTATGTACAAAAGTACAGGAGATTCCAAAGTTCAGCTTTTTACCACCTTTTTCAGCAGTTTTCAGCTATATTTATCAGTGGTCACTCACACCCTTGTTAGTCATTTATATTTTATTACGTGTTTTGATAGCTGGCCTCGGCCTTGGCCTCGGAGGTGGTGGCCTCGGCCTTGGCCTTGGCCTCGCGGTTGTGGCCTCGGCCTCGGCCTTGGCCTCGGAGGTTGTGGCCTCGGCCTTGGCCTCGGCCTCGGAGGTTGTGGCCTCGACTACAACACTGATGTAAACGACGCATCACATTTTATGGAGCGAGTTTCATCAGCTTTGTGCAAGAGGGGGAGATTTGAACTCAATACGAAAAAAATACATGTACTCACTTTCAGAATGTCGATACAGCACTGGAGACGATGGCAGAAGGTGTGTGCTGCAGCTAAAAGCTTCTTAAGGAATACAGGATCACCCCTGATGTCATTGCACACCTCCTCGATCGTGTCTTGCGCCAAACGATCAAGGGGGCGTGCAATGACATCAGGGGTGATCTTGCATTCTTCAGAAGCATGCGACAGCAACACGTGCCTTCCGCCACCGTCTCCAGTGCTGTATTGACATTGAGGGCGCCTAGTCAAAAGTCGCAGATTCTGAAAGAGAGTATTTTCTGCTTATGGCGATTCAATCTCACCCTCGTGCACAAAGCTGATGAAACTCGCTTTGTATAATTTGTCTTGCCTTGTTTACATGATCTGAAATTTTGGTTTAATTCCATTGGTAAACAACAGAGCTATTTAGAATCAAAAGTGGAACATGTTGGTTTGTTTTTTTACACGTAGTATAATGTTCACAAAACCGATTAAATGCTTGGTTTGGGGTTCTTTGTCTAATTGTAACTTTTTTTCAAACATTGGGGGGGGGGACCATGTTAGCATAACTCCTGCAAATGACACCCTTCCACATCATTTCTGTTATTTCTTCCCAAGTTAAATGCGCATCAACATCTGAGAAATTCCGTCTGTTGATTGGACTGTTGTGTGAAGTGGATCTGTCAATAACCAACATTGAGGAGCACTATGAACAGGTATAGACATCAAAGGCATTGGAAGTGGGGGGGGGGGAGGGGACGAGGCTCCTTTGCCCCCCCCCCCCCCCCCCACACACACACACACACTTTTTTTAAACTTAAATAAGGCATGTAAATGATATACTTTATGTATAAGGCTCTAAATGAAGGGGTCACATACACAATGAACGTTAAAGGTCATATACAACATTTGCTCTTATTTTCAGACATGAATGGATTTGGGGGTTAGTATTTTATAGCAAATAGTGTATACACTGACCTGTTTATATTTTTAGTTCAAAGATGCTGGGGAAAATCAAGGGAAAAAAAACTATTCTTGAAGCCTGGTTCCTTGACCCTACTTCAGACAAAACATAGCACTTGTAGACGTCGGGGAATTGTCAGGTCAAGGAACCAGACTAGCTGGCTTGCACCTGTTTGCTGATGTGTAACTGATTGCAAACAAAATGTGGACTAACTCAATTTGGTAAACTGGGGGCAGTATTTGAAAAAAGTCAGTTTTATCTAACGATGGTTCGGCTAACCATCGTTGGAATCGTTACCAAAATTCCACTTGTCTTGAAAATGACAGCACACGAGGTGCCATGATTTCACAGGATGCTTGAGACTATTCACTCACAGTCAAGTAAGGTAGTTCACCATAATTTGGTAGTTTTGTTTTTTTATGTTTGCAAATGTTGTATATACAGTGGAACGCTGCTATAATGAACACCGCTAAACCGAACATTCGGCTATAGTGAACATCATCCGTGGCTCCCGGTTTTAATGTACAAAAGCTACGGATTATTAAATGCTATTTGGGTCACTTTTAATTCCTGAACATCAAACCACCCATGGTTACATCATGTTTGAATGTCGGAGAGCGATAGATCGCTATTATTTCCCCAAGGAGTAAAAGGGAAAACCACCAGTTGCTAAAGTTTCGTGACGACTCCTCGTGTAGCCGCAGTATTTGAGAAATGCCAGTTCACTATTGGTCAAAAGAGTGAACTGTTGATTCAAAATCACTATACCGAACGATCGTCATTACAAACACTTTCTATGGATCCCGGGATGTTTGTTGTAGCGGCGTTCCACTGTACTACCTTTAACACAAGTTTTCAATTTCTACTTGCACTCAACATTTCTGTTGATGTGTAGTTATTTATGTGATCCCCAAATATTTCTTTGGACAGCTGTTGGTGAAGAATCGCATCTTTCATCTGCTGAGGATGTTTCCTAATGTTGCTCATCCGTTGCTTGATGTCATCGCCAGGGCAACCAACAGATGCTGTCCACTCGCTTCTCTTCCTGTCACCATCGGAAGAATTGAAAAAGAGAGGTATAGACTGGCACGTTATCCAGAATTGTGGGTTTAATAGTGGTTTTTAAAAAGAACCTCTGAAATATCCATATTATATTTTCTTTACCACTTTGAATATTTTCAGTCCAAGAACTGCACTTGCTTGATCTTACTTTATTAGTTTTTTTGGTCATTTTCTTTTTAAATTGTTTGTAGTTGTTTTTTTTCTTTTTAGTGTTCTTAAGTGGAGAAAATCACAGTCCCATGAGTTAGCATTATTAGCGGAATGAACAAACCACCCTGCCTGTTACTCTCTGTACTGCCCCAAACCACCCTGCCTGTTGCTCTCTGTATCGCCCCAAACCACCCTGCCTGTTACTCTCTGTACTGCCCCTAACCACCCTGCCTGTTGCTCTCTGTATTGCCCCAAACCACCCTACCTGTTACTCTCTGTACTGCCCCAAACCACCCTGTCTGTTGCTCTCTGTACTGCCCCAAACCACCCTGCCTGTTGCTCTCTGTATTGCCCCAAACCACCCTGCCTGTTGCTCTCTGTATTGCCCCAAACCACCCTGCCTGTTACTCTCTGTACTGCTCCAAACCACCCTGCCTGTCACTCTCTGTACTGCCCCAAACCACCCTGCCTGTTGCTCTCTGTACTGCCCCAAACCACCCTGCTTGCTTCTCTCTGTACTGCCCGAAACCACCCTGCCTGATACTCTCTGTACTGCCCCAAACCACCCTGCCTGTTGCTCTCTGTACTGCCCCAAACCACCCTGCCTGTTACTCTCTGTACTGCCCCAAACCACCCTGCCTGTTGCTCTGTGTACTGCCCCAAACCACCCTGCTTGTTTCTCTCTGTAATGCCCCAAACCACCCTGCCTGTTACTCTCTGTACTGCCCCTAACCACCCTGCCTGTTGCTCTCTGTACTGCCCCAAACCACCCTGCCTGTTGCTCTGTGTACTGCCCCAAACCACCCTGCTTGTTTCTCTCTGTAATGCCCCAAACCACCCTGCCTGTTACTCTCTGTACTGCCCCAAACCACCCTGCCTGTTGCTCTCTGTATTGCCCCAAACCACCCTGCCTGTTGCTCTCTGTAGTGCCCCAAACCACCCTGCCTGTTACTCTCTGTACTGCTCCATACCACCCTGCCTGTTACTCTCTGTACTGCCCCAAACCACCCTGCCTGTTGCTCTCTGTACTGCCCCAAACCACCCTGCTTGTTTCTCTCTGTACTGCCCCAAACCACCCTGCCTGATACTCTCTGTACTGCCCCAAACCACCCTGCCTGTTGCTCTCTGTACTGCCTCAAACCACCCTGCCTGTTACTCTCTGTACTGCCCCTAACCACCCTGCCTGTTGCTCTCTGTATTGCCCCAAACCACCCTGCCTGTTACTCTCTGTACTGCTCCAAACCACCCTGCCTGTTACTCTCTGTACTGCCCCAAACCACCCTGCCTGTTGCTCTCTGTACTGCCCCAAACCACCCTGCTTGTTTCTCTCTGTACTGCCCGAAACCACCCTGCCTGATACTCTCTGTACTGCCCCAAACCACCCTGCCTGTTGCTCTCTGTATTGCCCCAAACCACCATGCCTGTTACTCTCTGTACTGCCCCAAACCACCCTGCCTGTTGCTCTGTGTACTGCCCCAAACCACCCTGCTTGTTTCTCTCTGTAATGCCCCAAACCACCCTGCCTGTTACTCTCTGTACTGCCCCTAACCACCCTGCCTGTTGCTCTCTGTACTGCCCCAAACCACCCTGCCTGTTGCTCTGTGTACTGCCCCAAACCACCCTGCTTGTTTATCTCTGTAATGCCCCAAACCACCCTGCCTGTTACCCTCTGTACTGCCCCAAACCACCCTGCCTGTTGCTCTCTGTATTGCCCCAAACCACCCTGCCTGTTGCTCTCTGTAGTGCCCCAAACCACCCTGCCTGTTACTCTCTGTACTGCTCCATACCACCCTGCCTGTTACTCTCTGTACTGCCCCAAACCACCCTGCCTGTTGCTCTCTGTACTGCCCCAAACCACCCTGCTTGTTTCTCTCTGTACTGCCCCAAACCACCCTGCCTGATACTCTCTGTACTGCCCCAAACCACCCTGCCTGTTGCTCTCTGTATTGCCCCAAACCACCCTGCCTGTTACTCTCTGTATTGCCCCAAACCACCCTGCCTGTTGCTCTCTGTATTGCCCCAAACCACTCTGCCTGTTACTCTCTGTACTGCCCCAAACCACCCTGCCTGTTACTCTCTGTACTGCCCCAAACCACCCTGCCTGTTGCTCTCTGTATTGCCCCAAACCACCCTGCCTGTTACTCTCTGTAGTGCCTCAAACCACCCTGCCTGTTACTCTCTGTACTGCCCCTAACCACCCTGCCTGTTGCTCGCTGTATTGCCCCAAACCACCCTGCCTGTTACTCTCTGTACTGCCCCTAACCACCCTGCCTGTTACTCTCTGTACTGCCAGGGTAAGTCTTAAGGATTTTTTTTTGTATAGCAAAACTGCTATGCAAATTTTGATTTGCCTAGCAGTTTACCAATTTTGCATAGCAGTTTTGTTATACTCAAATTTAACCTCAGCTTTGCAATTACTATTTACCTGTCAGTGTCAGACTGTACAAATTACAAAGCAATAAAGAAGTAACTTACGTTAAGCTGTGAACTTAATGACTCATCAGTTGTTTTCGTAGTAGCCATGTTTTCATCAATATGCTACACAGCGCACAAACGACAACACAGCTGGGATTTGGACGTTTTAGTTCCCACGAATCCCACATGCGTATCAAGTGATTTACTTGAAGGGGTAAACCCGTTTTCTGTGTCGGCAAAATGTTTAAGATATACCGACAAATATCTAAAGAATAGTGATGAGAATGTTTAAACTATGTAAATTAATTATCATCTATGAAATAAACCCATTAGGAATTCAAAACAAATGTATTTAAACCATTAAAATACTCGCTAATAGTCGCTGGACTCTCATAATGAATGACCCTCACCCCTAATCATCAGAATGAAACAGTCCAATTAGTGAGGTCACACTAGGGTCAAAGTATTATCTATGAGTGGATTCATTGGCTCATTCTGTGACCTTTACCAACATGTACATGTACTGCATACACTGTACACACACGTACACAAGTAACAGTACGCGATAGAGCAGCATCATGTCAGCAGTCACTGAATCGAAAATGGTTTGTTTACAAACTAAACACATACAGACTTTTTACAGCTGAACAAAATTGATGTTCTTTTTCAGTATTTAAGCTTAACTAAATCAAAACATGATGGATGTTTACCATGTCCGATAGTTGTGGAATTCTGTGGACCGAAATTTGGTGGCAAGTACACTTTGTGTCAACTTTTCATGATCAAAATGTGGTAAAGCAGTTTTGCAATGCACTTTCACAATTGCGTCGCAGTCGGCCTCGAATGTGTCGCAAATTGCGATGTGATACCGCTTATTGCGGACCCTGTGTACTGCCCCAAACCACCCTGCCTGTTGCTCTCTGTACTGCCCCAAACCACCCTGCTTGTTGCTCTCTGTACTGCCCCAAACCACCCTGCTTCTCTGTACTGCCCCAAACCACCCTGCCTGTTGCTCTCTGTACTGCCCCAAACCACCCTGCTTGTTGCTCTCTGTACTGCCCCAAACCACCCTGCCTGCTACTCTCTGTACTGCCCCAAACCACCCTGCCTGTTACTCTCTGTACTGCCCCAAACCACCCTGCCTGTTGCTCTCTGTACTGCCCCAAACCACCCTGCCTGTTGCTCTCTGTACTGCCCCAAACCACCCTGCTTGTTGCTCTCTGTACTGACCCAAACCACCCTGCCTGTTACTCTCTGTACTGCCCCAAACCAACCTGCCTGTTACTCTCTGTACTGCCCCAAACCACCCTGCCTGTTGCTCTCTGTACTGCCCCAAACCACCCTGCTTGTTGCTCTCTGTACTACCCCAAACCACCCTGCCTGTTGCTCTCTGTACTGCCCCAAACCACCCTGCTTGTTGCTCTCTGTACTGCCCCAAACTACCCTGCTTCTCTGTACTGCCCCAAACCACCCTGCCTGTTGCTCTCTGTACTGCCCCAAACCACTCTGCTTGTTGCTCTCTGTACTGCCCCAAACCACCCTGCCTGTTACTCTCTGTACTGCCCCAAACCACCCTGCCTGTTACTCTCTGTATTGCCCCAAACCACCCTGCCTGTTGCTCTCAGTACTGCCCCAAACCACCCTGCTTGTTGCTCTCTGTACTGCCCCAAACCACCCTGCTTGTTAATCGCTGTGCCGCCCCAAACCGCCCTGCCTTTGCTCCCTGTACTGCCCCAAACCACCCAGCCTGTTACTCCTTGTACTGCCCCAAACCACCCTGCCTGTTACTCTCTGTACTGCCCCAAACCACCCTGCTTGTTGCTCCCTGCACTGCCCCAAACCACCCTGCCTGTTAATCGCTGTGCCGCCACAACCCGCCCTGCCTTTGCTCCCTGTACTGCCCCAAACCACCCAACCTGTTACTCCCTGTACTGCCCCAAACCACCCTGCCTGTTGCTCTCTGTACTGCCCCAAACCACCCTGCTTGTTGCTCTCTGTACTGCCCCAAACCACCCTGCTTGTTAATCGCTGTGCCGCCCCAAACCGCCCTGCCTTTGCTCCCTTTACTGCCCCAAACCACCCAGCCTGTTACTCCTTGTACTGCCCCAAACCACCCTGCCTGTTACTCTCTGTACTGCCCCAAACCACCCTGCTTGTTGCTCCCTGCACTGTCCCAAACCACCCTGCCTGTTAATCGCTGTGCCGCCACAACCCGCCCTGCCTTTGCTCCCTGTACTGCCCCAAACCACCCAACCTGTTACTCCCTGTACTGCCCCAAACCACCCTGCCTGTTACTCCCTTGAAACAGCCCTGCCTGTTACTCCCTTGAAACAGCCCTGCGTGTTACTCCCTTGAACAGCCCTGCCTGTTACTCCCTTGAAACAGCCCTGCCTGTTACTCCCTTGAAACAGCCCTGCCTGTTCTACCCAAACTTCCCTGCGTGCCTCAATTTAACTTTTAGAATTTTTTTAAATTTCTGTCTAGGTTCCACCATCACTCCTTCAGTCCTCACTGACTGTAGGTGTCGTCAGTTCTTCAGGAGCTATGGAGTCTCTTACGGACATCCATAAATGCATCTTGCTGCAGCAGCAGCAGCGTCTACGCCTGCAGCTGGAGTTGCTACAGGCTCAGCGACTACAACAAGCGTTGCCTCTGAAATCTGACTTTCAGACAGCAGAAAACAAGCAACGCAGCTGTGTGTACCATCCCAAACCCACCCATGGCTATAATGGAGCAACCCGTGCCAGCAAGCTCCACTGTGATTGGTCCATTGAAATCATCAGCTCAGCCAATGAGGATGACCAGAAGTTGCAGTCAGCTTTCCCAGCAGCCAATCAGGGGAGCTGTTGGAAACAGACACAGCGGCAGTGACATTCAGGCTTTGGATCTCAGATCGCCGGAAAGACGGCTGGCTTCAGAAAATGTTTCAAGTAAAAACGTCACCGCGACATTGATAGAAATTGTGAAAATGTTCCCGAGAAGGGTCTGTACCCCTTGACTTGTCCTGCACTCTTACGCCCACCAACAACACAGGGAACATGATTGCTACCAATGCCGCTTTCGAACCGATGACTGGGTTGTAGCAACAGAAACCAGACGATGAACATGTCAACATGATAAACCAATCCCAATGTCAAAGATTTGAATTTAGTCAGATCCCAGAGGTAAGGTCCCCCATGTTGAGCCCTTTTCACACTAGACAATCTTGGGGTTGACACAGGTTTGAAAACATCAAATGTTGGAGGACATCAAAATCTTTCATTGGAGTTGTATGTCAGTTGGATGGCATGTAGTTAAGTGTGATTTTTGGTCCACAAAAAAAATCTGCTTTTTGGAGGGCTAAAATCATGGATTTTGGTGAACATGTAGCCCCTTGTTTTAACACGCAAAACGTAACTGTTATTGTGGTTTTTTGTTCAGAGGGAGAGGTTGAAATTCCATGCTAAATAAGTGTTTTGATTGAATGCAATGTATTACAATGTCCTTTTTATGTAACGAAAGTTACATAGGCCTACAAATATAAAACCATTGCCAACCCGCCCGGAAAAGCTTTCCAATTCGTTTTCATTTATTCAAACAGACTGTGTTACAGTGTTGACATAACACAAAAGTCTGACTGTTGAAACCAATATATCAAGTTGTGAGACGCATCTGTACGTCTCAAAGCAATTAAAGTTACCGTGGAATTGCCCCTGTATTTAATGTCAGATTTCACTTGAAATTTGGGCGAGCAGGTGTATGTCACAATTGTAATTGTTGCAGAATAGAAATATTGAAAAGAAATCTAGACTGAATTGTGTGTCCATAAATTGCTGATTTCATAAACAGAACACCGTATATTAAAATAATATTCACTTTGCTACCCCATTTTCAGTAATCAAGTACCTGTAGTTATAGAAATAAGTGCAAAAGTAATATTTTTCAAACAAAATTTCAATGTTCTAAATTGCAAGATAGTTTCGTATACATTTGTATTTGCCCAAGGTAAACTTCAAAATTACAGTGTATTTCTGAAATCCCTGTACTTGTATATACATTGTATGTACACAACAGCTGATGTGAATTTATGTGATTGTTTTACCTATCTTTTTTCAAACGAAAAGAATCAGATTTGATCTTTGATTGAACACGAATGTATACTGTTTTACAGTCAGTTGTAACGAATAGCTTTTGTTCATCCGTGGATGTGATGTAAAACGTTTCAATTACACATGTATCAGAATAAATGTATCGGCTGGAATAAATGCCCAGAGTACTGAGGCAAACGAATATGAACACTGTTGTGATTCTTGTATTTATCAGGTGTACGTACTTGTTGTTAAGAGAAAAGTCAGTTTTTTACATTTAAATGTTACTGTAGGCCTCAGGCTGGGTCCTTGATTTTTTTCCTTCGATTTTGGCAAAAACGGAAACGAAATTGCTTTAAACTTGCAGAAAAGAAGATGCTTAGAGGACCTTTAAACACATTCCAACAAAATTTCTAGACCCATGTGCTTCTCAACCGAACATTGCATCGAAAATCTTATACTTATAGAGTATTGATTGATGGTCCTCTTGCATTCAGATGAATTTCTGCAATCGTCGCGCCTAGAGGTACGTACCGCTAGAGGCGACCATCAATTGTCGCCCCTAGAAGTAGGTACCGCTAGAGGCGACCATCAATAGTCGCCCCTAGAGGTACGTCCCGCTAGAGGCGACCATCAATAGTCGCCCCTAGAAGTAGGTACCGCTAGAGGCGACCATCAATAGTCGCCCCTAGAAGTATTTGCCGCTAGAGGCGACCATCAATAGTCGCCCCTAGAGGTACGTAGAGATGAAATGCTGTGGAAAAAATAAGATAAAATCGGCCCAAAAAACAATTGACGAAAAATGTAAGGCTAACCCCTTGCATTTTTTTCAATTTTGGCCAAAAAATGAAATACCCTGAAAGTTGCTAGAAAGATGCCTTAAGGGTCCTAGAACGAATTCCAAATCGATTGCTGGACAGTTGTGCTATTAAAGGGGAAATTCTGTCGAAAAATAAGGTTAAATCGCTCAAAAAAAAAAAAATTCTCCAAAAATTGACGATTTGGGCCCAAATCTTCAAAATTATGTGTGTTAGAGGATTGATTGACTGGTCCTCTTGCATTCAGATGAATTGCTGCTTTGTTTTGAAAAAAGTCCATTTTTGCCGATTTTGACGAAAAATGTAAGGCTAACCCCTTGCATTTTTTTTCAATTTTGGCCAAAAAATGAAATTTCTTGAAAGTTGCTAGAAAGATGCCCTATGGGTCCTAGAACGCATTCCAAATCGACTGCTGGACAGTTGTGCTATTAAAGGGGAAATTCTGTCGAAAAATTCATGTTAAATCGCTCAAAAAAATACCCTTTTTTCTCAAAAAATTTGACGCTTTGTGCCCAAATCTTCAAAATTAATAGCGTATTGATTGATGGTCCTCTTGCATTCCGATGAATTTCTGCAATCGTCGCCCCTAGAGGTACGTACCGCTAGAGGCAACCATCAATAGTCACCCCTAGAAGTAGGTACCGCTACGGGCGACCATCAATAGTCGCCCCTAGAAGTATTTGCCGCTAGAGGCGACCATCAATAGTCGCCCCTAGTGGTACGTAAAGATGAAATTCTGTGGAAAAATTAAGGTTAAATCGCTCAAAAAATTATTATTTTTTCTCCAAAAATTGACGATTTTGGCCCAAACTTCAAAATTATGTGTGTTACAGGATTGATTGATGGTCTTCTTGCATTCAGATGACTTTCTTCCTTGTTTTGAGAAAAATCCGTTTTTGGCCGATTTTGACGAAAAATGTAAGGCTAACCCCTTGCATTTTTTTTCAATTTTGGCCAAAAAATGAAATTTCTTGAAAGTTGCTAGAAAGATGCCCTATGGGTCCTAGAACGCATTCCAAATCGACTGCTGGACAGTTGTACTATTAAAGGGGAAATTCTGTCGAAAAATTTAGGTTAAATCGCTCAAAAAAATACCTATTTTTCTCCAAAAATTGACGATTTTGGCCCAAACTTCAAAATTATGTGTGTTAGAGAATTGTTTGATGGTCCTCTTGCATTCAGATGACTTGCTTCCTTGTTTTGAGAAAAGTCCGTTATTGGCCGATTTTGACGAAAAATGTAAGGCTAACCCCTTGCATTTTTTTCAATTTTGGCCAAAAAATGAAATTTCCTGAAAGTTGCTAGAAAGATGCCTTAAGGGTCCTAGAACACATTCTCAATCGATTGCTAAACAGTTGTGCTATTAAAGGGGAAATTCTGTCGAAAAATAAGGTTAAATCGCTCAAAAAAATGTTTTTTTCTCCAAAAATTGACGATTTGGGCCCAAATCTTCAAAATTATGTGTGTTAGAGGATTGATTGACTGGTCCTCTTGCATTCAGATGAATTGCTGCTTTGTTTTGAAAAAAGTCCATTTTTGCCGATTTTGACGAAAAATGTAAGGCTAACCCCTTGCATTTTTTTTCAATTTTGGCCAAAAAAATGAAATTTCTTGAAAGTTGCTAGAAAGATGCCCTATGGGTCCTAGAACGCATTCCAAATCGACTGCTGGACAGTTGTACTATTAAAGGGGAAATTCTGTCGAAAAATTCAGGTTAAATCGCTCAAAAAAATACCCTTTTTTCTCAAAAAATTTGACGATTTGTGCCCAAATCTTCAAAATTAATAGCGTATTGATTGATGGTCCTCTTGCATTCAGATGAATTTCTGCAATCGTCGCCCGTAGAGGTACGTACCGCTAGAGGCGACCATCAATAGTCGCCCCTAGAGGTGCGTACCGCTAGAGGCGACTACAATAGTCACCCCTAGAAGTAGGTACCGCTACGGGCGACCATCAATAGTCGCCCCTAGAAGTATTTGCCGCTAGAGGCGACCATCAATAGTCGCCCCTAGAGGTACGTAAAGATGAAATTCTGTGGAAAAATTAAGGTTAAATCGCTCAAAAAATTATTATTTTTTCTCCAAAAATTGACGATTTTGGCCCAAACTTCAAAATTATGTGTGTTACAGGATTGATTGATGGTCTTCTTGCATTCAGATGACTTTCTTCCTTGTTTTGAGAAAAATCCGTTTTTGGCTGATTTTGACGAAAAATGTAAGGCTAACCCCTTGCATTTTTTTCAATTTTGGCCAAAAAATGAAATTTCCTGAAAGTTTCTAGAAAGATGCCTTAAGGGTCCTAGAACACATTCTCAATCGATTGCTAAACAGTTGTACTATTAAATCGCTCAAAAAAATATTATTTTTTCTCCAAAAATTGACGATTTTGGCCCAAATCTTCAAAATTATGTGTGTTACAGGATTGATTGATGGTCTTCTTGCATTCACATGAATTTCTGCCTTGTTTTGAGAAAAGTCCATTTTTGCCGATTTTGACGAAAAATGTAAGGCTAACCCCTTGCATTTTTTTCAATTTTGGCCAAAGAATGAAATTTCCTGAAAGTTGCTAGAAAGATGCCGTAAGGGTCCTAGAACACATTCTCAATCGATTGCTAGACAGTTGTGCTATTAAAGGGGAAATTCTGTCGAAAAATAAGGTTAAATCGCTCAAAAAAATTTTTTTTTCTCCAAAAATTGACGATTTGGGCCCAAATCTTCAAAATTATGTGTGTTAGAGGATTGATTGACTGGTCCTCTTGCATTCAGATGAATTGCTGCTTTGTTTTGAAAAAAGTCCATTTTTGCCGATTTTGACGAAAAATGTAAGGCTAACCCCTTGCATTTTTTTTCAATTTTGGCCAAAAAATGAAATTTCTTGAAAGTTGCTAGAAAGATGCCCTATGGGTCCTAGAACGCATTCCAAATCGACTGCTGGACAGTTGTACTATTAAAGGGGAAATTCTGTCGAAAAATTTAGGTTAAATCGCTCAAAAAAATACCTTTTTTTCTCCAAAAATTGACGATTTTGGCCCAAACTTCAAAATTATGTGTGTTAGAGAATTGTTTGATGGTCCTCTTGCATTCAGATGACTTGCTTCCTTGTTTTGAGAAAAGTCCGTTTTTGGCCGATTTTGACGAAAAATGTAAGGCTAACCCCTTGCATTTTTTTCAATTTTGGCCAAAAAATGAAATTTCCTGAAAGTTGCTAGAAAGATGCCTTAAGGGTCCTAGAACACATTCTCAATCGATTGCTAAACAGTTGTGCTATTAAAGGGGAAATTCTGTCGAAAAATAAGGTTAAATCGCTCAAAAAAATGTTTTTTTCTCCAAAAATTGACGATTTGGGCCCAAATCTTCAAAATTATGTGTGTTAGAGGATTGATTGACTGGTCCTCTTGCATTCAGATGAATTGCTGCTTTGTTTTGAGAAAAGTCCATTTTTGCCGATTTTGACGAAAAATGTAAGGCTAACCCCTTGCATTTTTTTTCAATTTCGGCCAAAAAATGAAATTTCTTGAAAGTTGCTAGAAAGATGCCTTATAGGTCCTAGAACGCATTCCAAATCGATTGCTGGACAGTTGTGCTTTTAAAGGGGAAATTCTGTCGAAAAATAAAGGTTACATCGCTCAAAAAATACCCTTTTTTCTCCAAAAATTGACGATTTGTGCCCAAATCTTCAAAATTAATAGAGTATTGATTGATTGATGGTCCTCTTGCATTCAGATGAATTTCTGCAATCGTCGCCCCTAGAGGTACGTACCGCTAGAGGCAACCATCAATAGTCGCCCCTAGAAGTAGGTACCGCTAGAGGCGACCATCAATAGTCGCCCCTAGAGGTAGGTACCGCTAAAGGCGACCATCAATAATCGCCCCTAGAGGTACGTACCGCTAGAGGCGACTACAATAGTCGCCCCTAGAGGTACGTACCGCTAGAGGCGACTACAATAGTCGCCCCTAGAGGTAGGTACCGCTAGAGGCGACCATCAATAGTCGCCCCTAGAGGTGCGTACCGCTAGAGGCGACTACAATAGTCGCCCCTAGAAGTAGGTACCGCTAAGGGCGACCGTCAATAGTCGCCCCTAGAAGTATTATCGCTAGAGGCGACCATCAATAGTCGCCCCTAGAGGTACGTAAAGATGAAATTCTGTGGAAAAGTTCAGTTTAAATCGCTCAAAAAATTAATTTTTTTTCTCCAAAAATTGACGATTTTGGCCCAAATCTTCAAAATTATGTGTTACAGGATTGATTGATGGTCCTCTTGCATTCAGATGAATTTCTGCCTTGTTTTGAGAAATGTAAGGCTAACCCCTTGCATTTTTTTCAATTTTGGCAAAAAAATGAAATTTCCTGAAAGTTGCTAGAAAGATGCCTTAAGGGTCCTAGAACGCATT